GGTGCTCCTTCCTTTTACCTGTCCTTGCTCAGAGATTTCTAACGTTTCACCAGCTAATGGCTTTGTTCAAGATGTGAGCCGGGGCATGGTACCTGGGTGAGAAGGGTTTACTTTCTTTACCCTTGCAGTTCTCTTTTCTGTGCTTCGAATCAGCATTTGTTTTCATTTTCTCAATAAGTTGTAATGAGAGCATTTTAGAAAAACTGGTGCTATTTTTAACGTTTCATGTTGATCATAAAATGACATCTCTGCCCATATTTTAATTAATAGCTAATTTACAAATTGGGTACATTTTGTCAACACTGCTCAAATTTTTTTTAAAATTATTTTTTATTTTACAAATCAAAGTTTTAAAGGCAAATAGACACATTGCCCTACATGTTCATTAGCTAAACTGAATCTTACATTTCCACTGTAAATTATTAATGATACACAGCAAAAATCTAGCTAGATGTGTTTCTGTCTGTGTTACATGTGCATATTCTAGTTTGGGCACATATTCAAAATATGAGGCTGAAACAATTTTGAGAACGAAAATCTGTCATTGAATCTGATGATAATAAATTAACAGCGATGAGCAAAAGGAACTGGTTGGGGGGCAGCATTTCGGAAAGGAGAGTCAGGTATATCCCTATGCTGACAGGCTCTCCTTCATCCTTTGTGTCCATAACAGAGCTGGAAGCAGTCCTCCACACCCTGGGGCACAGGGTGTCCCCCCCCAAAACAGTCATTGGGGCAGAACAAAGCAGGGTACCATTTAAAAAAAACAGATCCTATTCTTCTGTGTAGGCTGAGGTTCTTACTAGCTGGACAAAACAAGTGCTTCATTCTGATGAAATTAAAGGATGCGGAAAAAATATTGCTATGATCATTTTTCTCCCCACTGTGGTATCCTACTTAAAAACTAATCATCTTTTACACTAGCAGTCACAAAAGAGAGGACTGGGAAAAGCTGATGATAAGAAAGGAGGAGAAATTGGAAATGAAGGAGCAAGGAAAGGAGATGACTAAAACCTGCATAAGCTGGCATTGTTGTAGTGATTCAAGGAAGAGAAAGTACCATACAAGAGGCAATCGGGCCTGGCAGACGTAACAGTTAACATGGACCCTTTCTGGAGAATGGAGAACTGTTCCTTCCACAAATCCAGAAGCTCGCAATCACAGTTAGCTATTAGACAAGGAAACATAAAACATTTTGAACACTTGCAAATGTAACAATGATATTGTCTTGTAGAGGGATTTGAGAAGATAGAATTGAAACCAGCATTTGACTAATTAGATAAAAATGTGTTCATATACCTGGTTTTGCCTGCGATGAATAGGTCTAACTGCTAATGCAGGTGTTGAGAGAATGAGTTAAATGTGTTCACTATTATGCCAAGGGTCTTGCATTTGTGTGCACTTCTGTCAGGAAAAACCCCAACTATGGTAAAGCCTGACTGATAAACTGTTACACATCTGAATGTGCATAATCATATTTTGAAAGATTAAATCCTTACTTTTTTTGTTCTTCAGGTACACAAAGATGAAGACAGCAACCAACATCTATATTTTCAATCTGGCTATGGCAGATGCGTTAGTTACCACGACTATGCCTTTCCAAAGCACTGAGTACCTGATGAACTCTTGGCCCTTTGGTGATGTGCTGTGTAAAATAGTTATTTCGATTGACTATTATAACATGTTTACCAGCATATTCACACTGACCATGATGAGCGTTGATCGATACATTGCAGTGTGTCACCCTGTGAAGGCTCTGGACTTCCGTACACCTCTCAAGGCGAAGATCATCAACATCTGTATCTGGCTGTTGTCCTCATCTGTTGGTATATCTGCGATAGTTCTTGGAGGTACCAAAGTCAGGGAAGGTGAGTGTGAGCATTCAAAGTTCAGTCTTTTTGTTTCTCAAATGACATAAAATGTAGCTTTGAATACTGATTAAACCTGATTGATTCCTTCTTCAAAAGGCATGTCTAAATTTCTGACATTTTAAACTATATTGTGGAACATTACAGTATGACATATAAATCATGTAAGCTCAGATGCCCTGGCCAACTAAAAGAACAAAATGCACTTTGAAGCATTGTCTGTGCTAGAATGAGACCATCAAAAACAGCTAGCAGACAGGAGGGGAAAATAATCAGGAGTTTGATCACCTTGGACAGATCAAAGATCAGTTTAGGAAGAAACTTGAAATGTGGGCTTAAGGTGCTTTTTGTAGGTGTTGTGAGAGTAGTTCTGATGAAGTTCCAAGAGCAGAAACTAGACTGCTTGTCATTAGCATTAATATTAAAATTATCATTAGTATTAAGACTTGGGAGCTTATTATCAACAGCCATTTCACAGAACTTGAAGGCATGGTAAAGAAAGGAAAAGTCAGTAGTACCTGGAGACAGAAAATCAAGCTAAATTGTATATGACAGTACCTCAAATTCTTGTTTAAAAAGGCATGGACATGTATATGGAGACTTGGAAAAGCTGAGAATAAGGATCAGCAGAGGAACTGGGAATACAGACCATGGCAAGGAAGCAACTACAAGAACATGAAGTCAATGAGATCCGTGTGCAGATCACCTGTTGGCTCTGCTTGAAATTTATAATCCATGAAGGACTGTGGATTTAGCCCCTATAACTGCAGACTCATTACCAAAACTTATGGGGTTAATCTTATTTTGAAATCCTCCTTGAGCAAGAAAGGGGAGAAGCATTCTCGCACACATATACTTCATACCCATAGGCATGACTCTGGTGCAGGAGCACCTCAGTGTCTCTAAAAGGCTTGAGACCTCTAATGATGTCCTTGGGTTGGGGCCATCCTGTTAGTGAATGACTCGATAAAATACAAGACATGCATATTTATTTGGTGGTAGTCATGTTTGACATATAAATAATCTTTTGAAAAATGATTAATAATTTCCTGAATTAACAACTTTTTTATTAGAAAGGTTTTGCTCCTCCCAAGAGGAATGGCAAACTTACATAAGGACACTGTTTTATGTGGCAGAGACAATAAATGCTGTGTGTTAAACTGTTTGGCGTAGATCAGTGCAAACAAAACATTTCACTAACAGCTGCTCAAGGGCTGATTGATTTGGCTGAAGATGTATAGATTTTGTTCTTGCTATTGGTCTTCTGGTGGGTAGGTGACAGGAGAGTTCTCTGGAAACTCTTCTTTCAACCCATTGGGGGATCAAGTGTCCTGGTCTGCTGTGCTATAACTCTTCTACCCAGTAAAGTTTTGACAGACTCTATAAAGCAATGTCTAGCTCCGAGAACATTAACTTCCAGGCATCTTCATTTGGGAAGAACAATTGTCTTGCTATATATGAGATCCTGAAGGCCATGGGATGCTGTTTTGTTGGAGCATGCTTAACTAGCAGAATATTTCTGTCATTCACTGTAAGCATCACATTTAGATCACAGCGCTGCTCTGAGGCCAGCAATGATTAAGTGCCCTTTCCACGCCACGTGGTAGGCAGCTTGTTGTTTTCTCCTGAAACAGAGACTGGTCATACACAGCTCAGCTGGGCCCAAATGAGATTGGAAATTATTGGCAAATGCTTGTCAGCCCCTGCTGTTCAGCTCTGCTTGTCTGATCTAAGGTCTCTCTTGGGCATTTATTGCCAATTATCTTGTCCGGTGTGTTCATGAATTGCACTGACAAATGCTGAAGGGGAAAAGCAAGGATCCTCCCTTTGCCTGACAGCTGGAGCTCAGGACTGAAACTTTACGTCATGTTGGTCAGAATAGCTGTTGTTTATATGCTACAGGGCCTCTGTTGGATTCAGATTTAAACGAGAACTGGACATCAAATGGAAAGCAATTCTATTTAAAGTTCCCACCCCATGCTCAGTTAGTCCCTTTTGTTCTCACAGTTCAGGATTGCTCCCAGTGGTGTCCTTCTGGATACATTTTCCCTGCAGAATAAATTCTACATCTGTGTAAATATTCCCTCCCTGGCTTTAATAAGGCCTTTCTTGCTGAAGAATTGTTCACTTAAAAAAAATAATAAAATTAGAGGTATAATTAGTATTCCCAGTAATAGTATGAAGACTCCATTTGAGTACAGAGGAATATGGATGCCTGAACATGACATAATTAATAATGTATCTAACAGAAATATATTACTTTTGTCAAGATTAAGATTATTCTTAAATGGTAGCTTATCAAACACATTTAAAATATATTTACACTAAAATACCATCTAGAATGCACTATTTTTCCTTAAATATATCAATGTGTTTGGAATTTTTGGCTTTCAGAGTGGAAAAGGTCAGTATGAAATCTTAAGTACTCAGTTTGTGACACTGTACTTAGTTCTGCATCTTTTCAGGCAACAAGAATAAAATACAAATTGGATTTTATTCTCTTCCAAGGTTTCTAAAAATTATTATGACATTGTGCATTATGACAAGGATATCTGTTGATTGTTTGCCAGTTGTAAACTGGGAAAATGCAAATGGGTTCCATACAATTCATAGCATTATATATATCAAGTGAGACACATGAATATTAATGAATTCAAAATAAGATTTTCCATAGAAAGTAAACTGTAATGAGATGTAAGACAATCATTACATTTGTATTCGATAATTTGGAATTCTAAAATACCATTGTGAAACACAAATTATATTAAAATGGAGCAAGCGTGTCCTAATTATTTTGACAAATGTATGGAATTATGTCAGTAGCTCTGAAGAGGCAGTTTCCTCTGGGAGGGAGTTTCAGTGAGTAGCTGGATGTGGTCCGGAGCAGTCATCCCTGATCAGATCTCATTTTTATCCAGAACTGCACATCTGGATGCAGCTTTACTAGTCTAGATATTATAGCTGCATCCTGATTTTATTGCTGCTGCTAGGCCATGATCTACTACAAATAACGGTAATAATCAACGTGAAAACTTCTTTGAAGATGATTGTTGACATTTCTAGAGTAAAATTAAGTAAAGGCAACTACACTTTAGCAAGATGACAGAGTGTCAAGACCCTGTTAAGTCATACTTGTGCTGTAAGCTTAGCATCCTCCATCAGGCTTGAAAGATATGTCTTTACCTTTTCAGCTTTCAGAGTCATCCATTGGTTGTTATATTATTTAAAATAGAACCTCAAAATATTTAGCTTTGATTTCAACTTTTTTATTTGAATGTTTTACTATTTAATATCACGCAGAACAGATTTCTGATATCTAACCATGGAAATATCTGTATGATAACATAATGACAATTTTCCCCCTAGCTGTTTTTCAAAACAAATTCTCTGCAATATCATTTTGATTTGTGAAGCATTTTGATAGTGGGGAAATATGGCTTGATGGAATTTTTCTGACTAATTCTGCTGGAGACAGATACAAAAAAGTGATGTGCAAGAGTGTATTGAATCATTCCACCCTTAGATCTGATTCAATAAAATCCAATACATAATAATTTGAAGAGGAATGACAAATTCAGTAGGGAAAATGAAAAAAAAAAAATGCAGTACTCACAAAGATAAAATCTAAGCTACAATTCAGAGTGAAAAATCCCTGTGTCACCTTGACTTGTCTTCAGTAGAGTTTAACTGCTGATAGTAGTTGTAAATTTACCCCTTCTCTTGCCTTGCCATTTATCTTGTTTCTTTGTTTTCCATATGGTTTATATGCTGGAAGGCTCCAATGAGGTCAGCAGATGAAACCTCAAATATTTAATTCCTCAGCAGCCTCTTATCAGATGGAATATTTCTAGGACATAAAATCAAGCGACAGCCTGTGACTCTGAATCCTGGCATGGGCAACCAGAAAGGGAGTGGACTGGTGTCAATGGCCCAGATCCTGCAGTCTCTGCGCAGGCTGCATTTTCGATGACATGATCTGCAAAAAGAATGGCTTCCATTTGACTCCACACACACATATGTTTTATTTGCTTTTATTTAACTGAAAAGAAGTTGTTGCCAGGAAATAAGTTTTTCTGAATGCAAGCACTTGCGTGTATGCCATTTGCATGGAAGAAGGCAGGTGGGAAAAGATTATTACACAATTATCATATATTGGCAAAATCTTCCTATGATCAAAACCTCATTCGGCTCCCACCATTCATGATACCAAAAATCTGTCTCCACCCACAGACAAAAACATATGTAGTTTGATAATAATTATGAGATTTCTACTCCATTGAACATGGTACTCATTCTGGCTTTAAATCTCAATGAGATTCAAATGGAAACATCTTTACAAATTTTTATTTTTGTGCTCTGCATTTTTAGGTCCTCCCATGGGAAACAAATTTTATACAATGATGTTATGCATTTTAAAAAGCCCCTATCTCTCTAAGTAATTTCTAGACACAGCTGCATAAAACCAGTTTCAATGGCAATTAAAAGCTTTTCTTGGAGTGATTTAATGGTAACTCCATTTATTAGTATCACATTACATGATAATCACTTTTCCTAGCTTATGCTATGACAATTACATTGTTTAGAATATCTAATAATAAAGCAATTTTCTTCTTCTTACTTCCTTCATTCCTAGATACTGCTAGTACTGAATGCTCCTTGCAATTCCCAGACAGAGATTACGTGTGGTGGGACATCTTCATGAAAATCTGTGTCTTTGTCTTTGCATTCGTTATTCCAGTTCTCATTATAATTGTTTGCTATACTCTGATGATCCTGCGCCTTAAAAGCGTACGGCTTCTCTCAGGGTCTCGAGAAAAAGATCGAAACCTACGCCGCATCACCAGGTTGGTTCTTGTGGTCGTGGCAGTTTTCATTATCTGTTGGACTCCTATTCACATTTTTGTGCTGGTTGAAGCGTTAGGGGATGTGTCGCACAGTACTGCTGCTATATCCAGCTATTACTTCTGTATCGCTTTGGGTTACACCAACAGCAGCCTCAATCCAATCCTTTACGCTTTTTTGGATGAAAACTTCAAGAGATGTTTCAAGGACTTCTGCTTCCCCTTTAAGATGAGGATGGACAGGCAGAGCACCAGCAGAGTCAGAAACACTGTGCAAGACCCAGCTTATATGAGGGAAGCAGATGGGACAAACAAACCTGTATGACTAGTCGTGGAAATGTCATCTTACTGTCCTCAAGAGAGAGAAGAGTCCAATGACCTAGGACTGACGCAGATTACCACTGCAGTTTGAACTAGACTCACCCAGACAGATGTTTCTGGAATACTTCAGAAATCCTAGCAGTTTGAACTAAAGCAATTTTATTATCGACAAACAAGAACCTCCTGAAAATAAGCTCAAATGAAAAGGACCTGGCTGATGGTCCGGTTTTTGCACCGTGTTTGCTGTACTTGAGCAGGTACTAATACACACTTTTGGGGAGGCAGGAGATAGTGTTGTACCAGCTGAAAGTTCTGGCTTTTCTCTTTACAACATGTAAGGTTACATTAAGCAACATTTGGTCATAGCACTGAGTTATGCCAGAAACTTTTGCCCCAACGGTGATTGCTTCTGAACTATGTAGTTTGACAACTTGTCATACTCTTTTACAGTGAAGAGTGTTGTTTAGGTTTCTGCAGAACAATGCCAGAACTATAATCAATATTGTCCTCAACTAATATATCTGTAACATTTGTCTGTGCTGTGGAAATCCAATTTAAGCATGATCAGCCTCCACACCAAAGTGATTTTATTGTGTCTGTGTATGGTAAAGCATTTTGGCATTTAAAAATATTCGGATTTAAGGAGAAATGGTAGTATATTTTTAGCACGTGTTTAGTCACCTGTGTGTAATGTTTTCTATGTATGATTTTCCAAGATGATTGTATATTTACTGATTGTGAATAATATAACATGCATTTTCAGAGTGTATTTTGAACAAGAGGCTGGAAAACTTCAAATACTTCACTTGTTACAAAACTGATGAAAAACCATGCCACATTCATTACATGAGGGGGAAATAATCACATTCCATTTTCAGTAAAGGGGACAAATGGACATACTTAAAAATGGCACTGTACTTGTTTTCCTGGACAATTTGTAAGCAGACTAAAATAAATATTTGAAGAATTAGAAACCAGTGAATTAGCACATGTATTAACTGGATTGATACAAAGGTAATGAAGATTAAATATACTGGATGCTTTAATGGCACTTGATTGCAAAATTTCCCATTTTATTGATGATGATACATTTTCCTTGATACAGTCCTATGAATTCAGTAAGTTTCTCTGTTTTCCTGTGAAGATGGAGATGCTAAGGCACAGCTACACAAGTTACTGAAGGTAAGTTTATAGTAAAACTGAGCCTAACTTTCAGTCTGTAATCTTTTGTCTTCCTAATTGTTAGATATTACTACTCCCGCTTCTGCTGTTGCTGAAGTTTGGAGGAATGCTCTCATTATCTTCACTGGGAACAGATCTGGTCACCAGCTGTCTTCCTGGTCTACCCTCTTTTAGTTTAAAGCCATTGCCCCTTGTTCTATGACTACATGCCCTTGTAAACAGTCTCTCTCCATCTTTCCTGTAGGCCCCCTTCAGAAACTGGTAAGCCACAATTAGATCTCCCCGGAGCCGCCTTTTCTCTCGGCTGAACAACCCCAACTCTCTCAGCCTGTGCTCATAGCAGAGGTGCTCCAGCCCTCTGATCAGCTTCGTGGCCCTCCTCTGGACTCGCTCCAACAGCTCCATGTCTCTCCTGTACTGGGGCCCCCAGAGCTGGACGCAGTACTCCAGGTGGGGTCTCACAAGAGCGGAGTAGAGGGGCAGGGTCACCTCCCTCGACCTGCTGGTCACACCTCTTTTGATGCAGCCCAGGACACGGTTGGCTTTCGGGGCTGCAGCCGCACACTGCCGGCTCATGTTGAGCTTCTTGTCCACCAGCCCCCCAAGTCCTTCTCCTCAGGGCTGCTTTCAATCCATTCTCTGCCCAGCCTGTAGTCATGCTTGGGATTGCGCCGACCCACGTGCAGGACCTTGCACTTGGCCTTGTTGAACTTTGTGTGGTTCGCACAGGCACAGTTCTCCAGCCTGTCAAGGTCCCTCTGGATGGCATCCCTTCCCTCCAGTGTGTTGACCACGCAACTTGCAATACCAAACCAACCCTGAACAGTCAGAAGTGTTCACAGACTTTCAGTGGCGCTGTGGTGTTGAGCAGAGCTGTGAGATTAAGACCACGGAGTCTGGTACTCGAGAACTAGCTGCTCTAATCCAATTATCTTTGTTAATGAAAATATTCAAGGTAATCCATTCTGGACAAATCTGGCACTTTCTGATTGTTTCTGAATGATGAGTGAATAGCTGACCTCAGAATACTTGAGTTACCTGGGGAAATGAATGATGCTTACACAACTGAGTGAGTCTAACTTCCTATTCTGTCCCTCTCTTTTTTTATAGGCATACACCTTTCTAAATAAAGTTCTGACCTTTAAAAGGTCACAAAAAGGGAATGTTTAAGGTAAAAATTGACAGTCCAAGGTATTTGTCAAGTTAGGAGCAAATGAATGGTGAAAGAACTAAGCCCTAATGAATTATTTTCATTCCAAATAACCTATGTTCTTGGTTAATGATTTACTGTTTGCATATGTATATCTGTGTTTCAATAGAGTTATTACTCTATACCTTATGTGCAGTGCTCTGTATTGTAATGAAGAAACAATGTTCTTAATTTGTAAAAAGGAGATTTATAATATTTTTTTTTTGTGATTATGTCTTTAGTAAGGAGACCATCTTCCCTATCATAGTGGGAGGAAAATATGAGATCCTAGCAATTTTTCTGTGGTATGGAAATATTAGGCTTGAAAAGTGATATAAGAATGTGTTCTAAAGATTTATTTCTTTCATGGAACATTAACAGCTAAATTAGTCTGGATGCAGCAAAAAGGAGTCTTGGAGGTTTTCTTGTCAAATTAGGCAGCTTACCACACTTCATTGAACAACAAAGAAAAGTTGGCCAAGATTTTTTTTTATATCTGAGAAAGTATATTAAAAAATAATATTATGTTTTTGCTCACAGAATCTACTTCCAGATGATTAAATTCCCATTGTTTGTTCAGCAGTTCCCAGACCGGAATGACAACCAGGCAAAACGAATTATTGTCACAGGAACAGACACGGTGACTTTGGAAACCTGTATTTAAGCCTTGTAAACCACGTTGCTTTTGATGTAACTCCAGATGACTTGCCTTCTCTCTTGTGTAGCCATCTACCTCTGCGAGGCAACGAGAGGTGGAGGAAGGGCTGAGAGTTTCCTGGCCCAGCTGTTGTGGTGCTGGGTAGGGGATGTGGCAGCAGGGACAGGCTGTGCTCTCCCTCGGGTCATGGAGGAAGGCAACATGGGGCAGACACCAGCAGGCAGCCTGGGAATCAGCAGTGCTTGCTGCAGCCAGTCTCACCTCTTTTCCTTTTGGGAGGTTCCAAAAATTCGGTATTACAAAAGTGTGGTACGTGGTCATTTGGCCTGCTTGTGGGGTTAATTTCCAGGCAACTCGTGTGGAGATTAGGGTGTCACCTTCTGTGTTCCCTGCTTCCTTTCATTTAGAAATCTCTTGTATGCAGAGCATACCAGGCGTTCTGGTTCAGTGGTTTTGTTTCTGCTTTGGAGAGCAGAGCAAAAGAGCATTACCACGGAGTTGCTGAAGTTTGCAGATCAAGTATCTTCTCTGAAATCTAAGACTTTTGCAGCGTAGAGGTATCAGATTAACTAGAGAGTGGAGGACTGTTTCAGTCTCGCCTCTCTCTCCACTGTAAGTTTAACTATCCTTAACATTTAAATACCCTACAGCTGCCACTAGACAAACCCTATAGTTAATTTTGTGTACTTGTTAATGCAGATTGCAAAAGAACAATGAGATATAAAAAATAATTAGAAACCTTATTCAAATCTCTCTGTTCGTGGGCATTTAACACAGTCTACACATTTGTGTGTTAGAATTGCACCACAAAGAATAGTGGTTTTGGTTTTCTTTTTCTTAAAGCTGGGGAAAAAGCCCAGTGAAATCTGTGTGTGTCAAATGTCCTTCACTTTCTTTAATACTAAATATCTTCTACACATTGAAAGTGTCTTTGTTCAAATAAGAAAACTTCCTAGGTTTTGCATTAGCCTCTAAAACCCAAGGTGGCCACAAGGTGTTCCTTTTGCCTTCAGCTACAGTTCTGTAATTCATTGTTTCTTATTGTCCAAGACAATGTTATACCAGAATTTTTTATTTAATGATGGTCATGGTTTCCTCCTAACATAATGAAAGCAAATAAGCACTGAAAGAGAAACAATTTACATAACTAATTTCCACGACAGAGAGAGCCTAGAAATGGAAAGAAAATACCATTAGTATAATGCACAAGCAGAACGCCTCACCTATGGTGCTGAGAATGTGAGGTTGTTTGAGTGCATGAGAAATAATTTTTCTTCCCATGCAGGTGCACATGCATGTGCATGTGGAAAACTGTTCAGTGCCTCACTGCTAGTACATTGAAAATGCATTAAAGCGAAGAGGAAACAAATATTCAGCATTATGTTTTCTGGCTACAAAGATACATAAAATACCAAAGGAAGATTATGCATCATTACGCAAATGCAAAAAATAAGATGTGTTCTGCTACTGTTTGTGAATAGAAAGAGCTAAGTTTTCAGGTAGTTACTGCTCTCATTTGAGGTGATTAATGCTGAGAGATCCTACCTAATTTTGGATTGGACTGAAACATTTTTGATTTAGCATTGAAGTGGCTAACAAGCTGCCACTCGTACTGTCTTCCATTGAACAACTGGACACAGAAGGAATATTTAGAGTGGCATAAAATATGTTCCTTTCCCTTTTTTTCTGAACTGATACTGGATGGGGCCAAAACAGCAAGTTTCACATACTGTAAGAAAAGTCAGATTTTGTATTGTTTCCAGCTAACAAAGAGAAAAAACTTGTTATCTGTGTTGCACACTGTCAAAAAACTAAGACAAATATGTGATAGTTAAGGTGTTTCAGGGAAACTATATGACTCTCGAGTGTCCTGGGGGAAAAATGATGTCATACAAATATCATATTTAGTTATCCTCTTTATACTCAGTAACAATAATTTTTTAATAGGAAGTCTAAAGATGGATAAGAAATATTTTCAAACAGATGTTTTCATTTAAATTCCATGTTTTGCCTAGTTAAGCAATGAGGCTCAGCTAATATTTTTCAGGCCAGAGTATCACTCTCAACTTTTCAGCTGTGACAATCAAGAGGAATTTATGTCCCAAGGGGACAAAGAAACTATTTTCAGAAATATGCATGCAACAGTGTATACAGGTTTTAGCAGGCCTTGAATGTCTTA